TGGCTACTCTCAGCTTCATGTGGGGTGGTAGTTGCATGTCGAGGGCCGCCTCGTTGAATCTTTTGATCCACTCGGCTGCTACAGAGATGTCCCCCGTTCCATCCAACGGTTTACATCCCAAGTCTCTTGCCTCTTTGAGGTACTTTGAGATCCTTATTATAGGGACCTCGGCACCTCCCCCTCCTCGGGATTCTATGATCTCCCGGGGAGTCACGCGGCTTCCTCTCCTTGAAGCTCCTTCCAAAGCACGCCTTGCCCGGCGCCTTTGGCGATCCTGGTGGTATTGCCGGAGCAATTCCTCAATCCGTTCGAGAGCTTCATTATCATCGCTCTCGTCACTGGCATCATCGTATTCCCCATCATATGGGGTCTCAACCGGCTCAGTTCCCGGTTGGTAAGTTGAATCCTCCTCGGACTCATATTGTTCATCACTCGTCTCCACATGACCGTCACTCACCGTCAGTATGTGGGCTGCGCGGCCCTGTCCTCGAGACACCCTCGACCCTCCCCGGCTGCCACGTTGGGATCCTCCCGGTGCCTGGTCAGTCGGGTTCCGTCGAGTAACTTTACCGGTACGTTCCATTTCTGAAAGAAATTTAGAATGAGTCATTAGACTCGTATCAAATGTCAATTGACGGATAGGCACTTAAAGACATCCTTTGGCTCAAATCACCGCCATACCAATTGTTAAGGGTACCATCTTAACAATTAGAGACATTGCAACTCAAGTACCAAAAGTTCTATAAGTACAAAACTTTATGCTCATGGTTTTCAATTTCACTTTCAAAAAGAATTTTGAAGCTTCATTATGATGTTTACGGACTAAGTCTCTGATACCAATTAAATTGTCACGCCCCGGACCTAGCCGGACACGTCAACAACCCGCCGTACAGTACGAATAGTCAACCGCAGTCCAACTCATCCATACTGTACAAGGCGTCATGAATATCCTTCACACATAGTACATCCATAAACAAACATAATGTAAAACATGCATTTAAAACAGCGGAAGCATTAATACAATTGTTCAAGCCACACTTGGCATAACTAGGCATACAAGCCCCCAAAGTAATTATTCAAAAAAAAGTGTCCATGAGCGTTAACTTAATTGTTTTTAAAACAGAACGGAAGAAGCACGAACCACGTCTTCCTCCCTTGAGCCTCCCGAAGCAACGGGCAATGGTAGCAACTTCAAGTTCTACCTGAAACTGTGAGGTGGCCTCCCCCGTGAAGGGGAGGTCACTACTTGGAAATATTTGACAAGTACAATAGCAACTATACTAAGTATAATCAACGTTTTAATTTCCAAGACCCTCAAAATAGGGTGATATCATAATATAAATAATAATTTATATTTCCCACTTATTATCTTTATAATAAGTAAATTTATTCATTTGTCGGCACACGGCCCTTCTTATATATCCTTTTTCATTTATCATTTGCACAACCCAACCCTTGGGTCCTATTGTTTCTACGGGACTTGCTACCGCTGTCCGAGACCTCATGAGGCTCCCGGTTCGGACTCCAACATCCCGCCCCTGGACTCATACCCATCATCCCGTAGGAAGGTAAGGCCCTTCGGGGTCCTATCTTATGTGTTACCGCTACCGGAACCTAGTTAGGTCTCCGATTCGGATTCCACCCTAACCCGTGATCACGATGTAAGTCCATGCTATCCAACCCCGCTCTCTAGAGTCGGGAAGGGCCATGGTCCTTACTATTTCCAAAATTCAACTGGCTATCCACAAGGATTACCGAACACACCTGTAGGCCAATCCTATACTTAGGATCAATTTAATATTTACATTATCTTGGGTATCCCTTAAGGCCTACCCCTAGTATAACTTAAAGTTCATACTTTCCTACCTTAAAGCATCTCTTAAGACTACTTAAGGCATAACATTTCACAATCCAACCTTAGGATCAATCTTAACAACATTTCATTTTAATGTCCAACTAGTATCTTAATACTAGTCAAATTAATATCAACAAACCAAGTTCTCAACTCATAGTCATATAGACAATTCCAACTGATTTTCCTTTGAAAATATCATTTATCTCAATATTCAAAATATCACTTTTAATCACTCATATATTCCAATATGAAGAAAAGTATATTTCAACATATGTTTCATAATAAATTCCACTTTCAAGCCAACATACTCATAACACATGAACATACACAATTTACTCTTAAATTTGTATATCATGCTCCCTTTTGCTTTAGACATTTAGTCTTGTCATTTTTAGGCATTATTAATCATTAATAATCCATAAAAATACTTTTAATTACCTTCGGTAATCTCATGAAATTAACTCATTAATTATAAGCAATATAGTCAGCCATCCTCACCTCGAATTTGCTTGAAGAAGCTCTACCCTTCTAGGTTGAACTCCGGCAATACTCCGGTGAACTCCGGCGAAACTCCAACGAGACTCCGGCGAAACTTAGGAACACTTTAGTCAAGCTCCTAACAAGGTTTTATCATCACAAAACCCATATCAACACAAATAACCCTTAAAAGGTTATTTTCCGGCGAACCGGTCATTTGGCTTCTAAGTCCGTTCTTGGACTTAGAACTACCTTCCAACCCCTTGTTCTACACTTCTAAACATGAAGAACAATCCTAGGGGTCCTCAATATGATATATAAGTCTTAGGGTAGCTAAGAAGTAGAGAAAAAGTTAGCATGAGGTCATTACCTTGATTCTTCACACTTTTTCTATCTTTCTTCTTCTCCAAACCTCTCCCTTTTTCTTGTTTGAGCTTGAGCTCGAGTTGGCTATGGAAGGTGAGGTTTTCAGAGCTCCTTGGCCTTCTTTTCTTGGTGCTGGACGAGTACAATGAGTGGGAGAGGAGGGAGGATGGTACTTTTGTCCTTGGTTGACAATTGGGTGAGGTTAGGGGTCCCTTAGGTGTCAAGATGGTCTCCCCCATCCCTTCAATGGATTTCAGCCACCATTTAGCTCATGCCAGCCCCCAAGGTCTTGGAAACTTCGTGGGTTGGCCCCCACTTGTGTGGGAGGTCACCCCTTTTTGTCCAGAAGTGCACAATCGATCCCGAAAGTTGCATTTTCCGGCCCGTTTTAATCATATTTTATTATATCGGACCAAATAAAATATATTACGCGTTCCAAATAATTATGGGCCTTTAGAATAGATGTATATTCCCCAACATTAATTTAGGAGTCTCCGAAACTCACTTCGGGCTGTTATCCGTCAAATAGCCGATACCGGTAATTGGGCCCCGTTTGACCAACCGGTCAACTCCATGCCTTCCTTATGGCCCAATTAAAATATCCACCACCATATACATATTATCTAGACCAAGATGAATATAATATGTGGTTCGGGAATTATCGGGCGGTCCCCGTTCCCGCTGTGGGCCCCACATACAATTTACTATTCACGTAAAAGAAATAGTAAAAATTTACAATCACGAACTTTCTTAAATCATCCTTCAAGGTTTATTACATACTTTACTAAAAGTAAAAATGCTCGGGGTCGGTGTTACACAACCAGCCAACCAATTCTGCCTTAAAACTGCAAAACAAATGAACATTCGTTTAAACACTCGTTTTCCTTCTTTCATTGAAGCACTGCATAACTCTATTTCAGCTTTGGAACCAGGATTACTTCTTTTTAAAGTGGCAGCATACGCTTCAAGATACCCAAACTCAGCCTTATAGCTTCCATCCATCTCTTGAATAATCAACCTCTTGGCTCTTTTACATTTGTACAAGCTCACATTGATCTTCAATTTTTTTTTCAGCCTCCTCCTTCATAGCTCTAACTGTGAAGCTAGGATCTTTTTGTAGGTGACCTTTGAAATACTTTGCTAACCACTTCTGGCTAGCACTTGGAATAGAATAATGCCTAAAACATTTGTGTTCAGGATTGCATGCCTTCACTGCAAGACCACAATTCTTCCCATCCTTAGATATCCACAACCTCACCGGACAACCTTCCTCATTAAGACACTTCACTGCCAACCGGTTCTTCTCATTGGGTTTGATCTTCAGCTTGTACCCATATTTGACTCCATAATTAGCTATTGCGCTGCGAGCCTCTTTCACATCTTCAAAAGTCATTCCATTCTGGAAAGTACCTGATCCATCATTCACAACATAATTCTGTATGGGCTCATCATCTGAGGAGTCCTCAGATTGGTTGCTCTCCTCCTCCTCTTCATGTCCTCCATTACATTCTTCATCACTTTGATATCCATTTGGGACACCACCAATGCTCACTTTAGTTTGGTCTCTAACATGTACATTACCACCATCAAATCCTATCCCATTTTGGCTTTCACCATTGTGGTCTGTCACAGTAGTCCTTTCTAGTAGAGGAATTAGAAGAGGTTCATCCAGTTCATGATCAGCATACAGTTCAATATCATCAATCCATGAGAAGTTTCTAATACGATTAAGCACCTTCCTTATCGTGTTATCATCTTGAACTAAAAACAACCCATTTTCCATGTTTTTTCCAGGTTCTAACACATACATGTTTTTTAGAGTTTTAAAACCCAAATCATCCTTATACTTCCGGGCTATGTCATGATAACACAAATAGTCAGGGTCAAATCCATATATGGTATCCACATCCCCATTCACGTACTGTAAAGGCTTCAACACCCACCTCCCACTATGGTTAAACCTCAAGTTGACCAACCCACTCATTTTTAGAGAGAAGTTACAAGAACGGAATACCTTGGTGTTTGAACGGAGTTCGTCACTTAGGGTTGCAGTCCATCAGCGTGTAATCTTCTTTACGAGGGAAAAGAGCGTTGCAAATGGGTTACAGTCGAAGAAAATTTACTTAGGGTTGCAAATGGGGGATATGCGGTTAAACGCAGGGAAAGGAGCGTTTTAGTTAGGGGAAACGGCCGTTGGGAAGGAAAGTTAGTGGGTGGTGATTTAAGGAAAGATTTTGATTTGTGTTGTTTTGGTCCACTTTTAACCTCAGTGTTCTATTCGAGATTCATTAAAAAAGTTGGTGTCATTTTTTGCCCTTTCTCCCATTTAGATTTGGTGTCCACCCGTGTGGTGGAGGAATTGCATGCAGTCATGCCCGCACGAGAGAGTATTTCCGCTGCATACTTGTGTTGAGACAAGAAAAGCCGTCTGAATGTCTATTGACTGAGAGCCCGAGAAAGTAGGTGAGGGTCCCAGATCCTTCATGAAAAATTCAGCACCTAATCGTTGAATTAACCGGGTGAGAAGCTCAGTGGAGGAGGCAGTAAGGACAATGTCATCGACGTATAGAAGAAAGCCATATGTAACTCGGTAAGATCTGAACCCAGCGCCTGTTGAGCAAAAGTTGAGAGCTTCTCTGGGAAAATTTTCGCCCAGCTCTTTTGCTTTCGTCTATTCTTAAGCTATGGTGATTTCCGAGCTTTAATCTGTTGTTTTGTGGTTTTTCTTGGCTGGAATCTACTTCGTCTGGATTTGATTTGGAGAACGAACGATGGCCAAAACAGTAGTTGCGAGAGCCGGCATCGCATAACTACTGTTCATGTCGTCTATGTGAGATTTATTTGGATTCAACTGATAAATGTTTGAAATTGATGCTTATTAGTGTTTTTCGACCTATGATTTTACTTCCGTGTTTGAACTAATCAACTGCGGATTTCATTTCGGTAAGTCGAAGGCTGTTCTGTTGCTACTGCGATTTGAGGAAACAGTGTTTGCGAGCTCTGGTTTTCCTAAATCGTGCTGTAGGTGGTAACTATGGCTGGCAAGAAGCAGGGTAAAGGCGCGGCAACGCCGTATGTGAGTACTCGGTCTTGAACTGTTGTGGGTTTCAATGCTTTGGAGGGCTTGGATGACAATTTCCCTGCACTACACGGTATGAAACCTGGGAAGAAGACAGTTGATACTCTGGCCGGCCCTGGGAATAATTTTGAAGACAACTCTGACTCTGCTAACGAGCTGCTGCTTGGCTCTAAACCGGTGGACTCTGCAAAGCAGGGCACTGCAATAGCTACTGCTCCTGCTGTTAACCTTGGAGATGGGGAAAAGGCTGTAAAGCAACCACCAGCTGCGGATAAAGAAACTGCTAGACCTAAAGCAGTAAATGCTTCAAAAGAAATTGGGGGACCTGCTGCGTCTGTGGCAGTAAGTCCTGGAGCTGGAGGTATTACTAAGCAGACTTCTAATGCTGCATTACTTAATGGAGGATCTGCTGCTAAAATAAATGCTGGGGAACCACAAACTTTGGCAGCAACTCCTACCCCTTGGACCGCCCTATTTAAGGACAATCGTGACCCAAAGCATGGCATTAAATTGAGGTATGTCCCTCCTAAAGGAGATACTTTGGACTTTGGTGATCGTGTACTACCTTCTATGGTTCAAATGTGGGGTTTTTGCTTAGTTGGACACTTCACTGGAAAATTTCCCGGACTCAAAGCGGTTCATGAGATTAGAGCTACTTGGGGTGTGAAATGTCTTGTGAGGTCTCACAACAAAGGATGGGTAATCTTTAAATTTACAAATGAGGAGGATAGATCGAAGGTACTACTTAACGGACCTTACAATGTCTTTGGGAAACTTCTTATGCTCAAAGAACTCTCGGATGACTTCTCATTTGAATACGAGGAGTTTCTTAAGGTTCCAATTTGGGTCAAGTTCCCTAAACTATCAATGAAGTTATGGAATGATGAAGCTATGAGTGAGGTGGCATCGTTGGTTGGGGTCCCAATTACCACGGACAAGATCACCCAAGAAAGGACAAACAATGAATATTCTAGAGTGTTGATTGAAGTTGATGTTTCAAAGCCACCGTCACTTTCTTTTCCCATACGGCTACCTTCCAAAAAGGTATTCAAACAAAGTGTGCTTTATGAAACTTTCTCTAATTATTGTTTTCATTGCAAACAATTTGGGCACCACCCATTTATTTGTAAAGAAATATCTAAAAGGGGTGTTGAAGGAAGTGGGGATAAAGGGAAACAAGTTGTTGAAAGCATAGAGAAAGAACAAGGAATTGACAAAACTGCGAAGATTGGGATTGCCCAGGGGTCGAGCCCGACCGGGTGTCAGCCTGACCTGATCGGGTTACACAGATCTGCTGCTGCCCAGGGCACACACCCGACCGGGTATGCCCCAAACCCGATCGGGTCTCATGAGCAGACAGCCCAGGTTTATGTTGCTTCCATTTCTGAGCCTGAAACAGCTTCAAATGGGCAGTTTACTACTCAGGGGCAATTAAGAGATGGCGAGAAATTGGGGGACGAGACCGATGTCAATTTGGAAGCTATGGGGAGGATTGTGAGGGATGAAAGTGATTTGAAACAAGATGATGTTGTCACCAAATGTGAGGTCATAAACGGTAAGACGCTCAAGTTGCTTGTCAAACCGTTTAGATACGTCTGTACTAGTGTCATTAGAGTGGATACCTCCCTTCGACTTACGGATGACTTGGATAAGAAGGGCCTAACATTCACCGCCCATTGTCCTGAGAGGTTGCCGGGGGTTACTAAGAAGAAAGGGGAGGTTTGCTATGACTCAAAGTTCACTACTCCTTTCCGTGCTTTCTTTGGATGTTAAATTAGGGATACCTAATATTTTGGTGTGCTAGTGTTTTGAGCTTATTATGTTCCTAATGTTTTTTAGGTTCAAAGTGTTGACTTTTGAGGATTTCTATCTTGATGTTGTGGTATCCCATGTTTAGGGATATGCATTTTGCTTGTAACATTGACTTGTTATTTCTTTCGGTGTTAATATATATTTACATTTCATCCAAAAAAAAGAAAACCATATGCGGACCATGCCTGTATATAAAGAGAGTGATCAACTTTGCTATGGGTATATCCAAGAGTAGGAGTGGACTCGGGTCGGTCCAACTGGCCCGGAACCGGACCGGCCCGCTACTGTGCGGGCCTGGCCCAGCCCGGTGAATCGGTTGGTTGCCCGGTTCGGGCCACCCGGCCCGGTGGGATGGCGGTTCGGGCTTGGGCCCTTCAAAAGGTGAACCAGTCCGGCCGGTTCAGGCTCGGGCCGAGCCAATTTATTATTATTATTTTTTTGAATTTTTTTTAAGTTTTTAGGTTGGGCTGGGTATTTTGAGCCATTTGAGGTGGTTAGGGTTGGTTTGGGGGTGATGGGGGTGGGGTTGGGGGTTAACTAGGAAAAGCCAAAAAAAAATTAGAACCGAGGCCCGGCCCGGCCCGACCCGGACCCAGGGGTTACCCGAGCCGGTTCCGGACCTCCCCCCTCATGATCTGAGGCCCGGCCGAGCCCATGCCCGAACCAGGCCCGAACCGGAACCGGTCCACCCCTATCCAAGAGTTGTTGCATGTGTAGCAAACCGATGATACCAAGCATGAGGTGCTTGTTTGATGCTGTAGAGAGATTTTTTCAGTAAGCACACATGTGTAGGGCGGGAATGGTCATGAAAGACGGGCGGTTGATGCATATAAACAGTTTCAGCAAGGTGGTCATGGAGAAAAGCATTATTGACATCCAGTTGGCGGAGGCCAAGAGTGAGAGAGAGCCAGATTGAGAACTGTACGAATGGTGGCGGGTTTGACCACCGGGCTAAATGTCTCATCACAACCAATGTCAGTCGTTTGACACTTGACATTCACAACCAACCTAGCCTTATGTCGTTCCAAACTGCCATCAGACCTATATTTATGCTTAAACAACCACATGCACCGAATAATATTAGTATTAGCAGAACGGGGAACCAACTCTCACGTCTCATTATTAATAAGAGCCCTAAATTCAGAAATCATGGCGGCTTTCTGGTTGGGATCTTGAAGGGCCATAAATGGTGATTTTTTGAAGAGCCGTAACAACACTTTTGCAATGGATTATTCTCTAATTTCCTATTGAAATTCATACTTGATAAAACAATTTTATGATTTTTAAAACTTCTTCTGGTAATTCAGGGAACAGAAACAGAAATTGGAACGTTTGGGTGAAAATGGTGAAGTACTTGTGATCTAATTTACTCCCAGATCAGTTCGGAGTATAAGTAAAAGTATGTTCCAAACACCCCTGTGTACCAAAACTGCGTAAGAAAGGAAAGTTAAAGACCCGGCTTAATTTCCTGTTTATTTTGCAGTAGATTTCGAAGAAGATGAAGTTTAAGCCTATTTGGGTTCCTCTCATCACTCACACCGCCCGCGTCAACAATTTCCTCAAACAACGTCTCAACTTCACCAGCTTCCTTCGAAAGATACAAACCTCAGAAGCTCAATCTTCCGTCAATGGCGGAAGTGCCGGTACCAGCTATCACGATACAAACTGCAATTCCTTTCTTTTATAGTGTCAAATGAGTATGCTGTACTATTTGATTATGAAGTCAATCTGTTTGCAGGTAGTAATTTTTATTTGCCTGGGGCAACTGTGGCAACCATTGTCATGCTGGGCGCTCTTCATGCTCGCCGTCTCTATTATGATAACAAGGTCTTTTTTAAATGGGGGTTAGCCATTACAGCTAGTGAAACTATTCAACCCTTATTATCTCTAAAATCTGCATTCTTGAGGAATTTCTGGTCATGACTATTGGGTGAATCTGAAGTTCTGAATTTGACTTGCAAAAAATGTTGTGCTTACTGTTTTTGAATCTCCTGCATCTGTATTGCAGATTGAAGAGATTAGAGAGAAAGGAATTGAGATAGAATTCCAACCTGATGTGAAAGTAATAAATTATACGTTCTCTGAACATAAATAGCTAATTATTTCAAGTTTTAAACTACATAGTTCATTTTCTATTATCATGTTCTTAATTTCTGCTAATACTAAGTATCTTAATGCCAGGCATCGTGCATGAGAATGCTACCACTGCGCTCCATTTCCAGGTTCTGGGGGCTCTTAACCAGTGTGGTGAGTAATTTCAAATTTGACCGAGTATAATAAGTCCCTGGCATACTTTCACTGCTTCCCATTTGATCTTCAAACAGGAATTCCCAGTTTGGGTGCGTCCTTATGCATACAAAGCATGGGCTCGAGCTTTTCATTCAAGTATGCCATTTCACCATCTGCTAATTAATACTCCTAATATATACATTTCTGAGTTATTTGGGATAACTCTGTAATAGAAATATTTGTCTGAGATCAGACTTACAAGAAGCGGCTTTGCCTTTAGAAGAATACGCATCGTTGAGGGAGTTCTTTGTCCGTACTTTGAAAGATGGTTCCAGGCCTATTGATTCTGACCCACATTGTCTGGTAACTTGCCACCAGCTCTACGGTCTTTTATAGTTTATTTAGCCATTTTGGCTGATCAATCAGATTCTGTACTAAAACCTAATTTATTTGACTACCCATGCTGAATGATTTAATTGTGAGTATAGGGGGTTTAATGTACTTTTTTGTATGAAGTCGTCAGAGATGATTATTTTAACATCTTTTTCCCATTTACTTGTTTCATTAATTTTATCAGAAAATTAGAAATGCATTTTTAATTTTTTTCATAATTCAGCAACTTAAGACAGATTAAGCCTTACCAAACGAGCCGAAGATTTACACCTAACTGGTATAAGTTAATGCATAACGTTTCTTTAGAATATATAGTCTGTTTTACATCAAACAGGTTAGCCCAGTAGATGGAACCATTCTGAGATTTGGGGAGTTGAAAGAAGCAGGGGGTATGATTGAACAAGTGAAAGGGTTTTCTTACTCTGTTCCTTCACTTCTTGGTGGAACCTCCTTCATGTCCATGACTGAAACTGGTACAGATGATAATGGACAAAAAATAGTGTGGAAAGAAAATTCTGACATAGATGTAACTAAAAAGTCATGGTGGAGGGTTTCTTTGGCTTCTCTGAGTGTCAGAAATCCTGCCCCAGCACGGTAACCACATTCATATGTACTGTTATATCCTTAGAAACACCATATATGCTTTGCTATGTAGCATGGAAACTCTCGAGGAAGAGTATGTTTCCCGTTTCGGAAACTTTCGGAAACTCTTTGGAAACTCTCCAAATAAGCATTTTTTTGAGCAAAAGTTGACGTTTCCCGTTTCCCGTTTCCTCATGATTTTCGCGTTTCCGTGCAACATAGATGCTTTGTCTATTGAGGTGTTAATTCTGTGGAATGTAATGTGTATTTCCTACAAATTCCATGTGAAAATATTGCATAGACATCATTGTAAAATTCCATGGTGCCCTTTCTAGGACTCAGTTTATATATTGATGTATATTTGAGATTTTGAAAGTCACAGAATATGACATTGTATATGATTTTAACCCCCTTTTAATATTATTTTCAGAGACATTCTATTTATTAAGATATTGACAGATAGACTAAACCCTACAAAGGCTTTCTCTCTAATCTCTTTTGAATCCCGCTATCCAAATAGACCCTTATGGTGTGTTTAGATAAAAAGCAGGTTGGGGGATTAAGAAGGGTAAAGGGTTCAGTTTATAGTGTGACTGCGTGGTGTGTTTTGAAATTTTATAAAAATCAAAATTCAACAGCATGTGTGATCTCATGATTAGAAGCATTCTACTTATCATGGTTAGACATGGTTTGTAGTTGTTATATTTGACATTTTGAAGAAATGAAAGATATTATTTTATCATACTAGTAGCATTCCATCACCTTTTATTTGCTTTTAGAAACACTATTTGTTAAGATATACTAGTAGATTAAGCCCTCCAAACCCCCAAACCCCGATTAGTCCCCAGCTAGGTGCTAGGGAAGAGTGTTTTTTACAAAAGTGGCATGCTAGATTTGTGGCTTTATTTTATTATTGTATTTGAGAAAACCTTATATTTGACAAAAGTGGAGAGAACTAAGTGGAGGACGGGTATTCGCGTGGAGGGGTGATCTCGTATCATCTATTTCCCTCGTCTTTTTTTCCTTGTTTTTTATCCTTATATATATAAGCATTATTTGTATCCTTTTTATTTTATCATTTTTATGTATATTCATCTCCTTTTATATTATCTTTTTATAATAGCTTATCTTTTTTATCTTTATTTTCTTTCTTTTCCTTTTAGTTGTGATATCATGTATCGATTCATGTTAGCCGACCCCAATATCTTTTGGGACTAAGGCTTGGATGTTGTTGTATTTGAGAAAACCTCCGAGAGAAGGGCTGAGATGCTCTTTTCTTGCTGAGGAAATGCTCAAATGCAGTATGGTAACTTCGACCTTTTTGAAAAATTTATTGCAGCCCAATGAAGGGTTTGTTTTACTGTGTTATTTACTTAAGGCCTGGTGATTATCATCGCATACACTCACCAACTGATTGGAATGTAATCCTTCGTCGACATTTCTCTGGTAAGCCCCTCATTCATTTCATTTCATTTTCATTTACCCCAGTGCCGCAAAGGCTCCCACCTACGGTGGGGTAAGGGGGGGTCGGATGTACGCAGTCTTACCCCTGTACTAAAGCACAGAGTGACTGTTTCCGGATGACCCATAGTGAAAATCTCGTCCAAAATTGCATGAACTGACTGCTGCTTCATAACAAAGAAGCGCAGACAGTTTAGTGAGTCATTTTGCTTTATTCCATCATAATCTCAAGCCAAAAAATAATGAATCTTTGGCTCCATTGCAAATGATGGAAAATCTGGTAAGCCTCTCATGAAGTATATAATTTATTGGCCTTGAGGATAAGGTTATAATTATTATATTCTGGTTTATGATTTTTTATGCAACACCTTTAGTGTTTCTTGTTTGCGTTGCAGGTCATCTTTTTACCGTAAATGAACGCGCTACAAGAACAATCAGGAATCTTTATGTTGAGAATGAAAGAGTAAGAATAACTATTGTCATTGATGCTCTTGGTTCCTGATTTATTATTCTCTCGTGATATTTTCTGTA